GCATTTATAATCTCCTGGAGCCAGCCTCGCGTCACCTCCCAGGAGGCCAGTACCAACCAGGATGGACACGGGTCCAATAAACATGTGGTCGCATTTAGTCTGTTCAGTATCCTGTCCACGCTTTCGGGACTCACAGGATCAAACTCTTCCCAAATAATATTCTCAGGACCTGCCCCTGTCATCTCCTCTGGATCAATCCAGTCAGAGTCTAGCTGTTCACGAATCTGAGCAATTTTGTCATACAGATATTGTACAAAATCCTCAGCTCTACCCTCCAAGGGGTCTTCCCGCGTCTTTTGATGGAGCAGAGAGCGGGTCACCCTAAACAGGGCGGCTGGGCGATTATCTGATGATGCAATAAGAGTAGAAAAGTAGTTACTCTTCTCTACTCTTATCGCCACTAGGTAATTCTTAATATGAGATCTTACCAGTGTTCGGTCGGATTCAGAACGACTAGCCCTCCAACTGCTCTCTAGGCGTCTTTTCCGGTGCTTCATCTCCCTCAGCTCCTCAGTATACCAAGGAGCCAGGTGAGACCGGCGCTGGGTCAGAGGCCGCAAAGGCACGACTCGGTCTAAAGCATCAGCCGCCGCCCTATCCCAGGCGGCCACTAAGTCCTCAGCCGAGTCGTGTGCTAGAACCTCAGGAAATGGCCCAAGCTCCATCTGGAATCTCTCAGGATCCATCAGGCGCCTGGGGCGGAACCACCTGGTCGGTTCCGCCTCCCTGCGGCGGGGTGTGGCGGTTCGAAGGTCCAGGCGAAGGAGGGAGTGATCTGACCATGACAAGGGTTCAATCACTATATCCCCTATCTCGAGATCACTCAACCACTGTCCAGAGACAAAAACTAGGTCCAGTGTGTGTCCCCCCATGTGAGTAGAGCCATAAATTAACTGGGTCAGATCCATAGCCGTCATGGAAGCCATGAACTCCTGAGCCACCTCAGATGTCTCGCCAACTGATGACAGGTTAAAATCCCCCATGACCATAAGCCTGGGGGTGTCAACAGCCACCGCGGCTATAACATCAAGCAGCTCAGGCAGGGCTGCTGCCACATGGCAGGGAGCCAGGTACATGACTAGCAAGCCCAACTGCACCCTATGACCCCACTTCACAAGAAGGGACTCACATCCAGCCGTCTCAGGAACAGTGGCCTCCCTTGGTCCAAGACCTTCGTTAATAACAACCGCCACCCCTCCGCCCCTCCCCTGAGACCTTGGCTGATGGAAAGCACGGAAACCTGGTGGGCACATATCAACAAGGGGGGCTCCCCCTTCCTGGCCCAACCAGGTCTCCGTAATACCCGCCAGGTCCGCACCCCCCTCCTGAATAAGATCACAAATGAGGGGGGCTTTATTTACCACGGACCTGGCGTTGCACAGCATCAGCTGAAGGCCTGGGGCCCGAGGTTCCATACAACCTGGGGAACGAGAAGAGCTTTGAGGGTCGGAGCGCGCCACCGCTTGTAAACAGCGAGGACGCACTCCCGTAGGATGATGTGGCCCCCTGCTCCCGCCATATCTGCCCCTCCCACCTACAGTATCGATGTTATGGGCATCTGTATCGTAAGATCTAATCATCTCCTTGACCCCAGAGTTCACACCTCCCATGCCACGCCCTACGGCTGGCCCAGATACCCTCCCCCACGGGTCTTCCCCCGAACCCACGTAATCTACCCCCCTCCCAGAATCCCTTAAAATCTTATTAAGAAATTTCCCTAAAAAACCCCATAACCCTCTTTTTGCTGTATGCCATCTCTCCGGACTCCAAAGTCCGTCATCGAGATAGGCCCTCGATAAAGAAGAGGGCCAGACCTGCAAGAGGGGGGCATCTCGCAGTTTGAGTTCTCCCAATGAGTACATTTTGTAGCTAGATAGTCTATAGCTGGTAGGCATGTCCTAGTTATCCAGGGTCCTGTGGAGAGAGTATCAATTAGAGGTACAAGTCATTTTAGTCCCGCTGAACTCTCATATCAGTGGTAGAAAGAGCCATTTTGAACTCAGATGTGAACATCGATCACCCTCTCACGGCAACCAGATATAAGGGAGAAAAACAGCAGCTATAGTCCTGTTCTTTCAATGTTGTACCTAGGCATAGATGGAATAGCCAATCCTTGAGATTAGAGATACGGATAGTCTGTGGGAAATATATATAGTAGGCGAAAATCCAGGGAGACTCAGATGAAATAAAAGTAAGGAAATTCTCATCCTGATATACAGGAAACAACAAACCTGGATAGCAAATGATTCACAAAAAGCCGAATATCTGGTCATAAAAGGGCGATAGGAGATAAAAATACAGGAGGGGAGATGGAATAAGGCAGTCACTTTGTAGAAGCAAAGCCCCCATGATAGACATAACAATCATTTCTAATCTCCTTAGCTTTCTTTAGGTCTTTTATGCATGAAGGTTTAACCCCCCCCTATAGAAAGAGAGTGGGGAGGCCTCTGGGAGGTAATCCAGAGCTGGCCCGACAATGGAAGGATTGGCATCTTTCCATTGCCCAGGAGATCAGTTGAAAATAAATAAGAAAGGTCCCTATTCTCCTTTCTGAGGCCTCTTTGGTCTCTAAATTGCTTTGGTTTTTGCTGCCTGTAACGGCCAACTGTAACTGCTATTTCGGGCGCCATTTTGGAATTTTAAACTGCCACCACCATCGGCCTCCTCCACGCCGATTTCACCCACCGCCAGCCTCTGCAGGCAACCTCCAATCTTGCCAAGGGTCTAACAAAGTCAGCCCAGGGTGCCAGACAGTCATCGCAGCCGTATATCGCCATCCATCCGGCAGCCTCTGATGAATGTAGGGCCGGCTGTCACGAAGCTATTGGCCCAAATTTGCTGACTCAAATCCCACCAGCACCGCCCGTCTCATTATAAGCTGTTTCAGAGAGCGAAGCCACAAAACCGCTCTCCTAGAAGGTCTTCCGGAGCCGAAAACGCTCCCATCGGATCGGCAAATCAGCCCTCTCAACACACCATGGGCCATAGATGGGAAATTGGCCCTAAGGACCCCCAACTGTCAGGACATTACCCCCGTAAAACCAGAGCTCCATCGGGAGTCGCCATCTTGGGCATGTGCGAGGATTCCATTCCCTAATAATCTAATATCTAATATGTTCATCTCTTGCACAGAAAGCTTGGCCATACCAGCTTCAGAGTTTTGCAAAAGATGCAACAGTTTGGAGAAAGGTTGAACTTAAAAGGGTGTAATCATCAAAGTCCAAGGCATTCCCAGTAAGCAAGAGTAGCACAAGGCAGACAACAAAAGTTCTAGAGCTGGTACATGCAGAGTTGGTGGGGCCAATGCAAGCCAGTTTGGGAGGAGCAAAGTATGTGCTGGTCATTGTAGATGACTACAGCAGATTTTGTTTCTGCTATTTATTAAAGAGTAAAATACAGGTGCTACAGAAATTTAAGCAATGGGTAAGCTTCGTAGAAAGAAGGTATAAATAACAGGTATTTCAGCTGCAAACTGAAAGAGGTTCAGAATGCATGTCAACAAGTTTTCAACAATGGTTGGGACAGTTAGGAATAAAACATAGTCATAGAAATCTGTACCCAGCAGCTGAAAATGGTGTGATTGAGAGACAGAATGGTGTGTTACACACAATGAAGGCCTCACTGCTGGAGGATTATGGTCTGAGGAGGTCATATTGGGGAGAAGCCATGTTGACCGATAATTATTTAATCAATTGGCTGTGGAGTTCCTCAATTAATGATATTCCATATGCTGTTCTATATGGGAGAAAGCCATCTCTGGCACACTTAAGGGTTTTTGGAAGCAATGCATGGGTGCATATTCCAAGAGCAATCAGGAGAAAAGGTCAACCAAAGGCTAGAAAGCTCAGGTTTACAGGCTATGAGCCTGGCTCAAAGAGCTATTGATTTAGCGATGGGAGCAAAAGAATAGTCATTTCCAGGTCTGCTAGCATTGCAGAGCAAAATTGGAAAAGAATTGATGCAAGTTTTGGAATGATCCACTTAGTGACGGTAACTCACTTAGTGATAGTGTAAGTGTTCAGGGAGGAGAAACTAAAAGAGAGCAAGAAAAGGAGTCAGGAGAAGATGATGACTCGGATATGAAGCAAGAGCGGGTTGAAACACAAGAGCAGTCAATGCCACGCAGGTCAGAGTGATGGAACCACCTGACACCTGTTCTGCTAATGAAATTTGGGCGAGGACAAAAGTGAAGCCTGTGATCAAGAGATATCTCCGTCTGAAATAGGGAGCTTGTTATATCTGTCACAGTGGTCCAGACCCGACATAGCTTGTGCAGTAAGCATCTTAAGTCACTTTACTGCTGCTCCAATGCAATTGCACTGCATGGGTATAAAAAGAGTTCTCAGGTATTTGAAGGGAACTGTGAACTTGGGTCTTCAAATACAGGTCTCTGAAGAATTGTAACTACAATGGTAGATTGAAAGTGATTATGCCAATAATGTAAAAACCAGAAAATCTAATTCTGGGATTGTGGTATTGTTTGGAGGCACTTTAATTGGTCAGAAGTCCAGAAAACAAATAACTGTAGCCATATCTATGGCAGAGGCAGAATTTATTGCTCTGTAACCTTGCAAGATTAAAAGTTCTGAAAAACGTGAAAAACTCTTTTTTTTATCATAGATTGCCCAATTAAGTGTTCCTTTAACATATATTTGACTGTTCTTTCTATCCTGTATAAATTTATACCTTTCATAAATTTACCCCAGAACAAATTTCATTGTATTGGGTGGAACCTACACTAACATAAGCATGCATATCTTTACATACTTTGTTTTGGCTTGCCTGATAGGACAGATATTTCCCAGCACAAAATATAATATTTCTAAAATCCTCTAAAAATTGTGGATTTACTTCTGTTTGTTTTTTTATTAAATCAGGGAAAAGGAGCTCGTCCTCTTTCACAGCCCCAGATTGAGGAGTGTTTTGCTCAGTAGAAAAACATAATTTATGGAATGAGGAGTGTGAAGGAAACTGGAGATGATGGAATGATGAAAACACCTCCCTAACATCTGCCATTTTACCTTTTCCTTCCATTCAACTTTGCCCTACAAGTCCCATGATGCTCAGAGACGAAGTTCTCTAGTTGCCATAGTAGCAAAGATCTAAACAGCCACTTCTTTGCCAACGAAGCCCAAGAACCGGTAACGGAATAAACGGACCTCGGGTAGAAGCCTCTGTCTGGGCATCGTGGGGAGGAAGTTTAAACCCTGCGTGCTTGGCGGGAGCTTCGACTTCTGTTCTCTGGGCAGTCGAGGAGTGCTTGGTTCGGGTTGTGGGTAAGCAAAGAAAGCAACAATTAAGGGGAAGCAAAAACAGGTGGAAGATAAAGGCCTGGTGGAAGAGCTCCTCTAAGGGACCTGGAAAATGAAGCAGCTACTTTTCCCTTCCAAGTTGAATTGTGTTGCCAACTTCCATTATGTACTGTTTGTATAATACATTTGTCATCAATGGTAACTGAGCCCTAACTGCACAATCTCTGCCTCAATTAGTTTTCTTCCCTTTTCTCCAGGGCTCTGGAGGCATTGCATTCTGTGAATGAGAATGCTAAGAAAGTAGCATATTAATTAATCAACACATCAGTTCTTCGAGAAGTGAATAATATAATGCTAGGAACCAAAATTGTGGTGATCTTTTTGGTACAGAATCAGAGCAAACAACTTTTAAATGTATTGGATGAAGGCTTAAGTAAATGTTTACATCATACATTGTTTCTTTTTCTGACTACAGTGCCATTTCCTTTGGGAAATAAAGTATAATTGATAGACTTCCCTGCCATTGGTGGAATGATGGCTTCTGATCATACAGCCCTTCATCATATTGTCCAAGAGGAAAAAACGTCTCGGCAATGCAGAAAAAGAGGAAGCTCAAACGATTCTCCAGGTAGGCTTAGTAAGAGCACCAACAGTCAAGACATTAGCTGTAGCAAACATTCCAGCAAGCCTGGAAGTGCTCAGTTTACCTACTCTAATGACTTTCATGATAATGCTTCAAGAACAGCTGTCAATGGCAGCAAGAACAGCATTTGTTCAGAAGAGAACATCTGTGGAACGTCTCTGAACTACTATCACGAAGATTTTCACTCGGATGCCTCTGAAACCTCCATAAGTGAAGAGAGTGGCAGCTACATCATCCCATTGCCCGAAACACCAAAAACTAAAGAGCGGAATTTACCAGAAAAGAAAAAGAAAAATGATGTCCATACAAAAGGTAAGAAGGCAATTGCTCACTTTGAACACTACTGCATTCGCTGTGGTTGGCAGATTTCAGCCAAACTAATGGCAGCTAAGCCTTTCCTAAAATTCAAGCAGTTGTCCTATAACTCCGCTTTTGCTTAGCTACCCTGACACTTCTATACTGTAGAGACTATACTATCATTTTGGAAACCATTTGAATGTTGATAAAATGTTTAAATTGTATGCAGTTGATTAATATATTAATGTACTGCTTTCCACACCCTGTCCGTAATTCCTCTATCGAGGTAATGGGGCTTGTAGCAATGGATGTAGTTCACCAGTTATCATGGTCATACAGATGTCGGTGTCACATGGTTTCAATAAATAAGCCAAGGGCCAGGGAATAGGTTCCAGTATTAACAAAAAAAAAAAAGAAAGAAAAGAAAAGAAAAAGTTGGCAAATTTTAATGGTCACACTTCCATTCTTTTCAGTCTATTACATTCATTATTTTATCATTATTTGGATATGGTATGTACGCATGCATATGTATATCTATCCATCTGTCTGTCTAGGCAGTTTGGTATAGTAGTTAGGGTGCTGGCTAGCAATCCTGCTTTAGGCATGTCTGGCTGAGGAATACTAGGAGTTGAAGTCAATGCATCTTAAAGCTGTCTAAATACTGTCTTAGCATATTATGTGAGTATAGCAGTTATGTCTTACGGAAGCTAATATCATGAGAGTTCAGGTATGATTTTTCACAATAGGTCAATCAACCAATAGTTGTAACAGAGATTGTCTCAAGATATTACATAACAGGAAGTGAATCTATGCCGTGAATACATACTTGAGCATTTGGCTCTGAAGCTTATGTAAAATGATCTGATTCTTACTTTGCTCAATCTTATATGCCATCTTGATATTTCTTTTAATGCAGGAGGTAAAATGTTGCCTAAAAAGAAACCTCAGCAAAAGAGCTCATATATTACTGACCATACCATCAATGCCCAGGAGAAAAATAACATGACTTGCCGTCTCTTGTCAGCAAGAGACCATCAAATTAAAGAACTGAAAAACCAAGTGGCTGTTTTGCAGAATAGATTGGAGACCTTTATTACGGAAAATAAAATGTTGAAGCATCTTCAGTCTCAACAGTTAAAAGCAATTACAAAATATGAAAATGCTGAAATTAAGCTGCCTGATCTTTTGGCCACGCAGGCCAATGAAGTGCAGACTCTGAGAGTACTTCTCAGGAAATCTCAGGAAGAAGAGCGCAGGGCTTCCCAAAAGCTAAGAAACGTTGAGGCACAACTCTTAAAAACCACGGATGCCTTGCGGGCACTACAGAAACTTTGTATAGACAAAAAACTTGAAGAGAGAGAAGAACTTCAGCACAAATTAAGATCACTTACCCAAAAACTGGAAGCTAGGGATAAGAAAACTCAGGTAACATGCAACATACATTGCTTAGAACTGCATAGCATCGCTCTGTGAGCAGAATGGGATATTTTTTAAATCAATCAATGAAATTAAAATCTCTAGATATAAAAAAGACATTATTGGAAAAGAGGAATGTAGGAAAACCAGGAGAAGATTAGAGTTAGACAGGTGGAATTATGTATTAAAAGTGGTATGGGCAAGCTAGCTAAGCTAATTACTTATGAATCTTATTTTCACCACACAATCAGAGATGAATGTTGAAAAACACTACCTGGATGTTTTGAGTGGATGTGGTGCAAAACTTCTTGCTCTTCACACTTCCTTCCATTTTTGCATATTTGGCTCAGTTGTATAGAAAATTGAGATTTTGGAAAGAATGACTCTTGCTTTAACTAATAAGATGAAAAAGTCCATCTCTGATGACATGAGCCTAGCCAGCACATTTAAACCTGTATATTAGCTAAACCTACCTTACTTGGCATCATACCAAGGCAAAAATGAAGCATATTATGGTTTTATTATAATTGAAATGAACAAAATGTTAGTCTTGTCTCCTCCTCCTCCACCATCTCCCCTCCCTTACAGTATAGCTTGTAATGTTGGTATATTAAATAAATAATACTCTTTTGCTAAGTATTGCAATATATAAAATCTAATGTTCTTTTATTCTATTTCTCCACCATACTGACCTTGATTTAAGGATTGGAGAAGGCTATTTCTTCCACCAATAAAAAGAAATTAAAAGTATATATTGTAACTGGATCTCTATTTCTTTTCTCCTTAATCTGCATAACAGATTGTGAGCATCATCATCTTTCTGGAAACATTTGGTAAAATTTCAGTTGCCTTCCTCTAATTTCTAATTCAATATTGTATGATTGCAAATCTTGAATAATCTTATTGATGGTTTATTTCTAATGTGTTTAGGATTTGGAAAAGCAGCTGTCATTGAATACTGCTTCTTTTAGACACCAGTTAGCAGTTGAGAAAAAGAAGACTATTGAAGCTCGGTCGATGACAGCAAATTTGCACGTAGAAATCGAGTCGCTGAAGCTCAAACTTAAGGTATTTAGATGCTTAAATCATATTTTTCTTACCACAGAAGGAATCCAAGATGCTATTCACTAAATGCTGATTTGACATAAGCCTATTTTTTTCTGTGGGTTTTTCTTTCAGCCTCTAACTATATAAACTGTAGATTGGATAAATGTATTAATGTACGTTAGGCCTTTTGCACACTAACATTTCTAGGAACAGATAGTACTTGAAAAGTGTCTCCTAACTAAACATATGATCTCTGAAGAACATACATTAATACAATAAACTATATTATCAACATAAATTTAATAATGCATTTCTTTAGGAAAGAGAAAAAGAACTAAGCATTACAAATATTTATGCACACCGGATGCGCAAAGGTCAGCCAGAGAAAGCCGATTCATGTTCTTCTCCAAAAGGTAGAACACAGTTTTTTTCATACTATAATAAAAATATAATTCATTGACGTCAAAAAATATTTCAAATCCTTGCTCTATTTTCTCTTTTAAAAATGGCAATACTACATTTTGTGAACTCTTTAATTAATAGTCATTAGTGCTGATTAAACAGGATCATTTTCATCCTTCTCTCTAGATGGGAGAGATAAGGGGAGAAGAGTTGAATTAGTGAGGAGAGTGTATTTCTAACCCCTTCCTTCAACTCTGAATTTATGAATGAAATACAGGAGTGGTTTATCATTGCCTTGTCCCGTGCAGTATGAAATAATCCCCTTGCATTTGCCACTGAAGGGATTATCTAACATCTTCCTATCATGCTGTTCCTATCCAATATACACAATCCTCAAATTATGACTGTAATGGAGCTCAGAATTTTCATCGTAAGTTATGATGGTTGTAAATCAAGGCACCCACATGATCAACCTGATTTTAAAACTTTTTTTGTGCTGTTTATTAAACGAATGTCTCAATTGTAAAGCAAATGATTATTAAGATTAAAAAGATCTTTAAGGAAACATTGTGGTTGTTAAGCAAGGCAATGAATTTTATGGCCATTTTTGCCAGAAACTGGCTTAAAAGGCTAGTTACAAGCAACAAAACACAGCAATTCGCCATAAAGAGGGTCATGTGACAGTGGGGGGGGAACGGGACAGCATCAGAACTCTGGAACTGGGTTATAAATACTTTGGGACGAATATCGTAACTCTGAATGCAATGCAATTGTTCGTTTTGTGAGGAATATGTGAGAAAATTTACATCAGGGTTATCCTTCAACAGGTCCCTTAATCAACCCCAAAATAACATGCAGCAGAAGACCAAGGAACAGGCAACAGGGTGAAATAACCAACTCTATAGAAGATTCTGTCACCAATTATGAGCCCTCATTTGCCAGATTTCCAAAGGAAAGACAAAAAGACACTTCTTCAACTCCCAGTGAAGAAAACAGTCACAAGATACCACCTGGGAAAAAAAGGCTTCGTTTGGAAAAATTGTTTGGGCCAAACTGCATTTTAAATACCAAATGATGGCTTGCATTATTTGATTCCAGTCAAGCTCATAGAACTAATAGATATCAGATAGTATTAGGACTAGGACATATTAGGTAGTCGATATTAGTGTTAGAAGTAGGATATATTTGATCGTAGATATTAGATCGTTTAGAACTAAGTGATGTTAGATAGTTAATGTTAGCATTAGAACTAAATGATGTTAGATTATTATTAAAATTAGGCAATATTAGATAGTAGATATGAGTTAGTATTAGAACTAAGCAATATTAGATAGTAGATATTAATATTAGAACTAGGATATATTAGATAATAGATATTAGTATTAGAGCTAGGATATATTAGATAATAGATTTTAGATAGTATGAGAACTAAGAGATATTAGATAGTAGATATTAGTATTAGAGCTAGGATAGATAATAGATTTTAGATGGTATGAGAACTAGGAGATATTAGTAATTTCTGTCGTTACTATTGAAATAAGCAGCACATAAAACTCTATTTTGTGAACTTTCTGAACATTTTTATAAACAATGAACTCTGGTAATTGACATAACGACTAGAAGTATTCAGTGCAGAAACACCTTCTAAACGTGCCCATAAAATCTAGGGCCATGAGATTCCAAATAACAATTAAAGACCCAGAGGAGACTTCACTCGGTAGTATCCTAATGGCATTAACAATAGTACGGGCAGAGAATGCAAGCAATGGAGAAATAAGGAGAAGGGCAATGGCAATTGAACAACCTCAAACTAGGCAAGTACCATGTATGAGGTAGCACTGTATAAGCAGCAGGCCCAAACGTCCAAAATTAACCATCCTTCGGAGCTGTTCTGTTTGGTTTTTTTTTAATGCAGCAGAGATGTTAAAAGTCCAATGTCAATATGCATGTCCAATAAAAATGATCATTATGTGGGGGGACTTGCGATACACACAGAAGTATAGATCTTCCTGAGTCAAATAAGATGCATCTAGAAAAAAACTCCCAGCCAAAAAGGATGCCCTCCATAGGCAGAAATGTGCCCAAACTTACAATAAGGTTTGAGGGCATTTGAATAAAACAAAAATTAGCCTTCAATGTCAATAGGTGACTGGTGTAATATTGGATGTCTAATTGACCCTATTCCATGCTATTCCTCTGTGCTATGGAGCAAGAAATCCTTTTCTAGGAAGAAACTAAATAGAAGGTCAATTATCCCATAAGTTACTACCCTCCTAATCTGCGACACCCAGTCTTCCGCAAGTATTCCCTGGAGATTCACTTGATGGTGTTTCTCTAAGATGTAGCTTACCTATAGGTCCATTTTAAATACATGGAACATTGACAGTAAATACACGTAAGCAATGAAATCATACATACAGATACCGAAATGTCTACCATCCCACTTTTTCATGAAGCTAATACAGCCTCAGTCCTAGGCAAAGTCAATCAATTATATGGCAATGCAGCGATGTAAATCTTGTTGTAGCTGAAATTGTGATCTGTCTGTTCAACATCTGTAGCGATTAGCAGGAAAAGAGTAACCAAGTCCATTGTTGCATCATTTTCAGTAGTGTGGAGAACTCTTCCCAAAGCGGCTCTAGTGGCTGTAGGGTTCTATTAGCACTCACCACACATCTATTGGTATTTCCACTCTGGTTCCATATTGGTGTTATCAGGCATTTTCTGTTCTGTTGCTATAGTTCCCAGTTTTGTGTCCACCAGGAGGAAAACAGGTTCTTTCTTCCAAACATGGGATATACAAACCTTCTCCCCTGGGGGTTTCATTTGCATAGAATATGGTGAGATACACAGCTTCCCTTGATGGAATGACCCGTGGTCGGACAGGACAAAAATCAGCTGATAAAAAAAACTTACAAAAAATAATAAATGCCATAACTGACTTGGGCTATTTCCAGCCTCTTCATCTTTTAAATCACCTGTCATCAGCCTGTTGCCACAGGTGCCACAGAAGTCCCAGGTACAGTGAGTTCAAGCCACAGCTCACCAGAACCTGAAGTGTCCAACTTCCTTTTGCCACGATTCCACATATCTGTCAGTATATAGGGGTTGACGAATTGGAATAGACATGGTAACAGGTCAGCCAATGGGGACTGCTAAATTTATTTATTTATTTATTTATTTATTTATTTATTTATTTATTTATTTATTTATTTATTTCATATTTGTATACCGCCCTACTCCCGAAGGACTCAGGGCGGTGAACAGTCATAATAAATACAAAGACATATAGAAGTTAAAAACTATTAAAAACAGATTAAGTAATTTAGTCTCAAAGATTAAAACATCCAAATTTATCTAAAAGAGATCTAAAACCCATTTTAAAAGCCAATTTAAAAGCCAATTTAAAAGGGAGAGTTAGGCCAGACCAGCCTGTTGGAATAGAAACGTTTTCAGGGCACGGCAGAAGATGCGTAACTCTTGGATCTTTCGTAACTCTGGGGGAAGCCCTTTCCAGATGGTAGGTGCCCCCACAGAGAAGGCTCTCCCCCTGGGGGCCGTCAGTCGACATTGTTTGGCCGACGGCACCCTGAGGAGTCCCTCTCTAAATGACCCAGACGGCTCAGAGCCTGGATTGCTGCAAATTCAAACAGGTTATGGGCCCAGAGCAACCAGACACAGTAAGACTGAACTGCAATTAAGCCGAAGGACTGCCTGTGTTAAAAAAGTAAAAAGAACAAGGCAGAGAAGGCTTGCAGGATGGCTGTTGAATTCAAGGAGAGCCCTCTGCCTCAACTGGGACAGAAGAATTATATCATTTGGGCTGCAAAAATGGAATGCTTCCTGAAGGCTGAGGAGCTCTGGGATATTGTTGGTAAATCACACCAGGGACCATTAGCAGCAGCAGCTCAAAGGCAGCACGATAAGGCACTGGCCTACATCATCTTAAGTTTAGAAGATGAACAATTCCTGAATGTAGCTAATTTAAAAACTGCAAAGGAGGTTTGTCTGAAATTGAGAAGTAAGTGCATCAGCATGCAATATTGTGCAATTATCGAGACAATTATACAGCACCCATTTGCAACCACGAGAGAGTGTGGAAAGGCATTTGCTGCATATACAAACTTTATTTATTGAGTTGGTACACTGTGGCATGCAGATCCCTGAATCTCAGAAGGAACTGTTGGTGTTAAATAGTCTTGATGGAACATGGGACCTTGTTTCAGCTGTTTTTGAGTGCAAAGCAGAACAGGACTTCAGAATGGAAACTCTTACAGCCTGTTTGATTTCAGAAGAAAACAAACAGCATTTTATAAAAAGCCATGAGGAGAAATTCCTGAGGTGGGGGCCCAAGGAGCAGAGAGAGAGCAGCAACAGACAGCATGTCTGTAGAGACATGTCTGCAGAGACCAGAGTAACAGATGAGACCAGATTACAGTCCAGCAAAGATTTTCTATCAAGAAAGCAACAGTACAGCGGTGTCTCATCTGTGATGATAAGACTCATTTGAAGAAAGACTGTTTACAAAGAAAAGATACAACAGATGGGCAGGCTGCTGTTGCAAAAGTTAGCTATTGTAATAGCAGAGACAAATAGTTAATAGATAGAGGGTTAGTCAAAGAATTGTTAATAATTCTAAATTGTTTTTCAGAAGGGATCCAGCTGGAGGAGATGCAGTAGCCTTGGCGAATGGCCAGAAGGCTAAAGTCATTGGAAAAGGCAGTGTGGTGATTCAATATCTGAAGGAAAAGTTGAGCAACATATTATGTGTGCCTGAAATGGAGCATAATTTACTGAGTGTCTCTAGTCTAGACCGAAAAGGGTTTGAGACCACATTTGTAAATGGGAAGTGTCTCCTAAAGAGAAATGAGAATGGATGTGCACAGGGCATAAAGCAGGATAATATTTATGTGTTGCAGGGAGAAAAGGTTCAATGCGCCCAAACATTTGGAAATGTAGCACAACATTATTCATATTTATTTATTTATTTTTCATATTTGTATACCGCCCTACTCCCGAAGGACTCAGGGCAGTGAACAGCCATAATAAATACAAATACATATAGAAGTTAAAAACTATTAAGAAACAGATTAAGTAATTTAGGCTCAAAGATTAAAAACATCCAAATTTATCTAAAGAGGTTTAAAACCCAATTTAAAAGCCAGTTTAAAAGCCAATTAAAAAGGGAGAGTTAGGCCAGACCAGCTTGTTGGAATAGAAATGTTTTCAGGGCACAGCGGAATATGCGTAAGTCTTGGATGTTTCGTAACTCCGGGGGAAGCCCGTTCCAGATGGTAGGTGCCCCCACAGAAAAGGCTCTCCCCCTGGGGGCCGTCAGTCGACATTGTTTGGCTGACGGCACCCTGAGGAGTCCCTCTCTATGGGAGCGAACTGGTCGGTGAGAGGCTATTGGTGGCAGGAGGCGGTCTCGTAAGTACCCTGGTCCTGAGCCATGGAGCGCTCTAAAGATAGTAACCAAAACCTTGAAGCGCACCCGGAAGACCACTGGGAGCCAGTGCAGCTCGCGCAGGAGGGGGGTTACATGAGAGCGCCACATTGCTCCCATTACCACCCGCGCGGCCGCATTCTGGACCAGTTGGAGCCTTCGGGTGCTTCTCAAGGGGAGCCCCATGTAGAGAGCATTACAATAATCCAGGCGTGAGGTGACAAGGGCGTGAGTGACCGTGTGTAACGAGTCCCGATCCAGAAAGGGATGCAACTGGCGAATCAGGCGAACCTGATAAAAAGTCCTCCTGGCTACGGCCGTCATATGCTCTTCAAAAGACAGCCGTGAGTCCAGGAGGATGCCCAAGTTGCGAACCCCATCTGTGGGGGCCAACGACTCGCCCCCAATAGTCAGAGATGGCGCCAACTGACTATATCGGGACGACGGAAACCACAGCCACTCGGTCTTGGATGGGTTGAGTCTGAGTTTGTTCCTCCCCATCCAGATCCGTACGGCCTCCAGGCACCGGGACATCACCTCGAGGGCATCATTGGGGTGGTCTGGGGTGGAGATGTACAGCTGGGTGTCATCAGCGTACTGATGGTACTTCATCCCAAAACCACGGATGATCTCACCCAGCAGCTTCACATAAATGTTGAATAGAAGGGGCGAGAGGACCGATCCTTGTGGCACCCCACATATAAGGGGCCTCGGGGTCGACCTCTGCCCCCCTGTCAACACAGACTGCGACCGGTCAGAGAGAAAGGAGGAGAACCACTGTAGAACAGTGCCCCCCACCCCCAACCCTTCCAACCGGTGCAGCATGATATCATGATCAATGGTATCAAAAGCCGCTGAGAGGTCTAGTAGGACCAGGACAGAGGAGCAACCCCTGTCCCGAGCCCTCCAGAGATCATCAACCAATGTGACCAATGCTGTCTCTGTGCTGTACCCGGGCCTGAATCCCAACTGGAACGGATCTAGATAATTCGATTCATCCAGGTACTGAGGCAGTTGTCGTGCAACCACACTCTCAACAACCTTTGCAACAAAGTGAAGGTTGGAGACAGGACGATAATTTGCTAATACAGCTGGATCCAGGGAGGGCTTCTTGAGGAGGGGCCTCACCACCGCCTCTTTCAAGATGGTGGGAAAGACACCCTCACTCAAAGAAGCATTTATAATCTCCTGGAGCCAGCCTCGCGTCACCTCCCGGGAGGCCAGTACCAACCAGGATGGACACGGGTCCAATAAACATGTGGTCGCATTTAGTCTGTTCAGTATCCTGTCCACGCTTTCGGGAGTCACAGGATCAAACTCTTCCCAAATAATATTCTCAGGACCTGCCCCTGTCATCTCCTCTGGATCAATCCAGTCAGAGTCTAGCTGTTCACGAATCTGAGCAATTTTGTCATACAGATATTGTACAAAATCCTCAGCTCTACCCTCCAAGGGGTCTTCCCGCGTCTTTTGATGGAGCAGAGAGCGGGTCACCCTAAACAGGGCGGCTGGGCGATTATCTGATGATGCAATAAGAGTAGAAAAGTAGTTACTCTTCTCTACTCTTATCGCCACTAGGTAATTCTTAATATGAGATCTTACCAGTGTTCGGTCGGATTCAGAACGACTAGCCCTCCAACTGCTCTCTAGGCGTCTTTTCCAGTGCTTCATCTCCCTCAGCTCCTCAGTA